GTACAATAGTATAGTAATAGTATAATAAGAAAATCATTAAATAAGAAAAAAGCATAAGAAAGCAAAAAGATACAAGAAACCGAGGATAAGAAAAATACATCCAAATGTCATTAATTAAATAAAATGCAAAACTATTTTAAATGAAAAAAGATATCGAGACGTTTTTGAATTCAAAAAATGGCTTCCGTTCCTTTTACACAATGAGTAAAGTAGTATTTATTTCTTTGGACTAATGCCAGTACGTCTTAAGCCCGAGAGCCGCCCCCTCTTTGGTCTATTGACGCCTGGTGTACGTGTTTCAACAGCATTATTAATAAACTCTCCTAATTCTGGTGTGGTAGTCTCGGTTTGTCGTGTGTTTCTATTGAGTGTCTCACAAAGTTTGGGGGGGTGGCCTATCATTAAATTTTGGGTTTAATGACAATGATAAAAGCCTTTTGCGACACAGAATTGGACCAGCTGCTGACAATCTGCTACTACTGGGATATTCGTACATTCTTTCTTCCGAAACAAGCGAACTTCCCGGATTAATGGCCTTGCCAACATTATCTTGATGTATTTTAAAGGTAACTTTATTTTCCATTCCTTCTATTCAATTTTCAATAAAAGCTTCATTTACTCGTGTAGAATGCTTAAATGTTTTTTTGCCTTTTTCGCACATCGCTAGAAAGTCTGTTTTGTTTGCTACTTGCGCACTGCTGTTTGTAGTTTTACCAAACTTGGACTCCATACTTTTAACCGACATCCGAGCTTTTATGTCTTTTAGTTCAGTTTCATAATTCGTTTCTTGCAAATTGTGTTGAAATTCTCTTAGAATATTTTGTACGAATATTTGCCTTTTTTTCGATATGGAGTTTTTTTTACCATTCGCTGTTTGAAAACCAGCAGAAACAAGCGAACTTTCCGGGTTATTCACCTTGCCCACTTCATCTCGAATCACTTTACTTTTCACTTCTTCCGATTCGTTTTCAATAGAAATTACATTCACGCCAACTGCGTTTTTGCCTTCTCCCAACTCCGGCCCTTCTCCTAGTCCTAATGCAACATTAGTTTCTCTCAGCACCAAGGTTTTGGAGTACCCACTAATATTGTCTCTTTGGTTACCTTTAAAGCCAAAAATATAATAATAAAATAATAAGCATAATAAAATTTGAGGAATATCAATGCCATACCCTGGGTTATCTGCTTATTTACTGGGAACTTAGACGTATGGGGAAAATTATTATTCACTTTCACATCTTGATGTACGACTTCTTGGGTGCTTATGGAAGCAAAAATGTCATCGTCATCTTCATCCCAATCAGAATTGTTACATACATAGCTGATTAGATGGCGCCAAAGCTGAAAAATTTTGGATTAACTTAAATTAACTGAAATGTTGTCTCTTCACAAATTTTAAAAACAACTTACTTTGATTTACGTTGTAAGTGTCCTCTTTCTCGATATCTTCATAACCTCGATCTGAAGCTTTTCCTAAAAAGAATGTGCGAAGTTAGGGTTGTTTAAAAAAGCCTATAAAGAGCCACTTACTTTCTGGTGTAGGATCGTATAAAAAAGCCACACGCAAATTTGTCTACAGCCAAAAACCGCAAAAACTGTTGATGGCAATACCTCTCAAAGAGCCTTTATCGTCACAATATTATATACGAGTAGCGAGTGACTTGGCTGGATACCAATGCGTGGACGCCATTAACTTTTAACTTTTAGTGCTACCGGAACACCATCCCCCTCTTACCGAAATCTATAGCTGTAAGTGCTCTGAGAAATCCATGAATCTGTATATAATTTTACGCATTTCAATCCTATACAAATTCAAGTCTTTCATTGTCCCTATCATACTGATAATAACGTTTTGCTGGGCTCGCCTACAAGTTCAGGTAAAACTATAGAGGCGGAAATGGCCACACAATAATAACGAAAGAGCTAAGGTTGTTTATATTGCGCCTTTGAAAGCTTTGGTTAAGGAAAGAATTAGTGAAAGCTAACACACCAAAAAAATGGGATGGTATCAGCCGGTCTTGTCAGACAAGAAAATATGTGCAAGATGTTGTACTAATTGTTATAGACGAAATACATATTGTAATTGTGTCATGTACGAATTTCATTACGTCAACACAGGATTCAATATACGTTGGTTTATCTACTGCTTTTGCCAACGCTCAAGATCTCGCCAATTGGCTGGGTATTAAGGAAATGGGGTTATATAATTTTAAAACTTCCGTAAGACCGGTTTCTTTGCAAGTGCATATAAATGATGACTTGATGATGAGTGCATATAAATGAATAACTTTCTGTCTTTTCTTTAACAGTAATGTCCACGGATGGCCACTATGAACCGGCCGACATTCTAAACAGTACGCTCTTATTCGCCAACGGAACCCACCATAGATTTTGTTTCATCCCGCCGTCAAACTCGATTAACCGCTTTCGATCTGATTACTTAGAGGCAAATGAAATAACAATAGAAAAAGTGTGTTGCTCTAATATATTTCTTCTTTACTTCTTTGCCAGATACTAGATTATTTACACTTATGCTTGTGGTATTCTGCCGGTACAATCTGTGCTCCCTCCCGGTGATGTGAAATATCTTAACAAGCTCAAACGCTACATTATCAGTAACTACGAAGAATCATATAATAATGAATTTTATCAATACGTACAATTTGTTAAACGCAGTGTGAAAGCCAAAAGATGTGCTATCTCTTTTTTTTTATTTTATTCATAGAGTTTAGTTGGAAATCCTTTTGCAGGCGAATCAAATCTTTTGTGCTTACATGCTTTACTAAACGCTGCTCCTGAATTGTTGGCCTCTTCGTTGGTTTATCTTCTAGAACCTTTGAATAATTCCTTGAAAGATGTCGCGGATATAATGCGTATACAAGTAGCTAAAGTTATATTATGGGCTTACGGACTCGATGATCGAGAATTTGACGCTAATGTTAAAGAATGCTTGGAGGCTTTACCCCAACGTTCATTGGAACAAAAGCACGGTTGGCTGGTAGTTCGTGACCATGCCTTGAGTAAAAAAATAGGATATCTCATCATATAACGTCAAACAAAGAATTTTACTGAATGGCAAAATTTTGTAGACGCTGTGAAAGTTGTGGGTAAAGTTCTGAATACAGTAATTTTTGGTGAAACTCATTATTAGAGGTATTGTTTCCATTAAACTCAGCTAAAATGTTATACGAGAATCAGTGGCTTTTAGTCTGACACGAGACCAGCAATCGGTAAGTGGAGTTATTTGAAATTTTCTGGTGAATTAAAAAGTTCAAGTTATGCGATATGATTTTTCAAGGAAAGTTTTTTTTTTTTTAATAACTTCAGCCATGCATGACTGTGAATTGGGAAATTCATGTGACTTTTAAGTTCAAGGCAAAGGTACAAAATTATTTGGTGACGGTATTGCCATATGGTACGCCAAAGAACGTATGCAACCAGGGCCAGTTTTCGGTAGTGACAATAAGCTAGGCATGCATTAAGATTAAGAACTTTTCTCTGCGGAGCGGGAGCAGTGACAATTGGCTTAAGTAGCCGTAGTCTCTTACAAAGCAATTTTCGGCATGTTAAATGTGAAGGCAACTGTTTGACCGTTATCTTTCAAAACACGCTGCAACGAGATGAAGGAAAATTTGATTGGAAACGTTTCTGGTCGTATCTTCTTCCATATATGTGGGAGTTATTAGCTGCAGTTGCTGTAAGTTAACTACCTAGGTTGTTTTTTTTATTATTAATAATGACTTATTTCAGGCTGCGCTCGTTGTGGCCTACATTAATATACGAATTCCAACCTTGCTGGGCGATGTTATTAATGTATTGGCACGCTATGCAAATACATATGTGAAAGATCCTCTTAACAATTCTTTTTTCAAGGATGTTGGAAAACCTTCTCACCGCTGACGTACACGATTTCAAACAATTGTAAAACGATTTATATCTCAGAGCCTCCGCAGTGCCGCTCAACTACTAGGAGGTAGTATTTCTTTATTCTTAATATCGCCTCACATGGCGGCCATAGCATTGCAATCTTAGTCCCATGATTTTGCTTCGTCTTTACCCGATGGATACGACACGAATGGTACGCAATTAAGCGGCGGTCAACGACAACGTATAGCATCCATGACATCATAGCTGTAGGTATTTGCAGCGTGCGCGGTACATAGGGATAGCACAACTGAGGCCAGTTTATATAATGCTATTGGTATTTTAAGGAAATTTCTTTTTCTTTTTTTTTTTTTTTGTTTATTTTCGATTTAGGTTGGACTGTATACGGCTACGGCGTATGTGTCGTAGATTACGCTTTACAAAAAGGTATACAATGGAATCAAGATATAAAAATGAAAATTTATTTACTCTACATTATAAATGGGTGGAAATATTTGCAGGTCTTCAAGTACGTTTACTGTATCGCTCTGAGGCCACCGTACCCGAACGTTTTAAAGGCAAAGTTGACTTTGTCAGGGCAATGTTGTAAACTATGATGATTGTAAACGTGTTATTGAAGGAGTTGACGGAGTTTGTGTTATATTAGGTACGCGTAGTAAACTTGAAGCCATCACTGAACTTTCAAGAGGCACAGCAAATTTGATATAAGCTATGAATGCTGAAAATATCAAACGATTTTCGATCGTTATGTCTTCATTTCTATTCCGTCTCGACTCCGACACCGTTTTGCATGACGAACCGCCAGGCCGTTCTATCTCCAAATATGATTTGGCCAAATTTATTGTCGACTCGTTGGATCAACATGAGCATTTGGGTCAAGTCTGCGGCATTGCCAAGAAAAATGACTAACGCAATAAAATCCATTTATAGTGCCTTTAATTGAAAAGAACTTTAACGACATTATACAAATATGTGCATGATATGCATGACGCGTATTTCGTTTATTTGTACAAGTTTGTTTTTTTTGTAAACTTAAGCATTTACAGTACTATAATATGAACGAACATTTTAATGAATGCCTGTATTCAATTAACAATTTAAATTATGAAATCTAAATGGGTGCTTTAGCAAAAAAGAAAATCGTATTATTTTTGTATTATATTGGATTTGTCGAAAGTTTCTAATGTCTAGACGTATTCAATTGCAACAAAATTGGATTTTTTTTCTCATCACAATTCGATCAGTCTATGGACAGTGTTTCCTTTTTTTATAATTTATGCAATCTATCCGGCCAACCTATTTGGACTACAAATTTTGGGTGTTAAGAAAATAATTACTGCCGAAAGCGAGCGCATACGCATTCTCATCTCGGATGGTCAATACTTTAATAGCTACGCAATGCCTTCTATTCATTTGAATTTCCTATGCGAAGAAGAACAGCTGAAGGAAAACACGATTATTAGAGTAGGTAAATATATAACGTCGATAGTAAGCAAAAACGATGCTGGAAAGTATGTAGTCTTTAATTAGAATTGTGAAAAAACAGCAAAGAAATGGTTCTCTATTATTTTCAGACGTGTCGTCATTGTTATGGGCTTGACCGTTTTGCATCCAGGTGATCAGGTGTAAAAGATTGGTGAACCCGTCAATTTGTTAGACGCGCCTGCTTCATCTGCTCAGACAGCGGCTCCTAGTCTAACTTCGTTACTGTCCACTAGCAATAAAAAATCTAAACCGGCCAAGGAAAATAGAAGCTTTTCCAACGGCAACAGTAAGAATACCAATCTCGATCAATCGATGAATGATGGTTTAACTAGTCCAATAGCTAGTTTGAGTCCATATCACAATAAGTGGGTAATAAAAGCCCGCGTTACTGCAAAGTCCGTAATACGCAGTTGGAGTAACGCTAGAGGTGAAGGGAAACTATTTAGCATGGACTTAATGGATGAATCGGGAGAAATAAGGGCTACAGCCTTTCGTGAGCAATGCGACAAATTCTACGATATCATACAGGTGGACCAAGTCTACTTGAAGCCGGCAAACAAACAATTCGCTACACTTAAAAAGAGCGTGTCGCACCACGCTCAGCCTTTCAGTTGTGCAGTAGCAGCCACGTGATCACGAACACAACTAGTTGACTTTTACTGAAAGGGTTTTTTTGACTTTCATGGATAGGGGATGGAAGGTTTAGCTTAACTACCATCCCTGAAGGACTAATAGAACTGTTGATTTTCACGGATAGGGAATGGAAGGTTTAGCTTAGCCATCATCCCTGAGTGACTGATGTACATTTAGTCTTGCGACGTGAACCGATTAGGGACGGACGAGTGGCCCCACAGGCCGAGATTGCCTGCTATAACACCCGCGACGTATTCTTGTCTTTTTTGGAAACTCGCGATACGCAAACGTGGATGATAATAATAGTCTGTACAAAGTATTAAAAGGAACGCTAAAGACAATTCCGTTACCGAATTCGGTTACCGAATTGTCTTTAGCGCTGGTTTCCTCTCACGCCTCTTAAAATTCGCGTAAATACTATAATCTCCTTGCAGTTTAAATAAACAAGAACGTAAAACCGAAACTGAAGGTCCAAGTAATCCTTATAAATATTCTTGGAAAGGGTCCTGGAGTGGCTAAGTTTACCATGCCCAAGAAGACTCATTACAATACACGATGTGTTTTATAAAAATGGTCGCAGGAGGCTTGTCAACGTATTTCTAAATTTGCGGCCTTGAACTGGCAAGGACGAACAAGTTTAAATCACATTAAAAATTGTTTTTGTTATTAGTAAGTGTAGTAAGTATTCAAAGAAAATCAGAAAAGTCTTACCACTTGAAGTGCAGAGTTTCACGTCTTGAAATGTAAGCTCATTTAAAATACTGTTTATCGATTAAGGTCTTGCTTCAGTTGTAGACATTTTGACCGGTGTAATGGCGGGAGCGAATTATTCAACTAAAATACGTAAATGGAATGCTGTAATGAACAAGCTGATTTAGGACAAATGTTTATTGCAATTAATCCCAATTGCTTTGATCCGGACTTTGAGATAAATATGTGCGACTTGAACAGCCGCTTGCGCAATTCTAAACCCGTATGTACTGAATGCTCTCTTATTTATTGTACTTGCGCATCGACCACCACCAAAAGATTGCCCATGTTAGATTTATCACGTAAGTTTTAGCAACTGATATAAATATTCGAAAATCCAAGTGATGTGAACAACCATGTGCTGTGTATGTACTGTGAGGACCCAAAGTCGTACCTCGTTTTGGCCTCACGGGTTCTCCGTCTCTGGCTGGGGAGAGAGGTAGTGCTAGAGAGTAAGATAGAATAAGAATAGGATAGGCATAGCATAAGAATGGGTTAGGCCTAGAATAAGAATACGATAGACATAGAATAAGAATAGGATAAGCTAGAATAAGAATAGAATAGGCACAGCATAAGAGTAGGATAGACATAGAATATGCATAGAATAAGAATACAACAGATCGCTGTGTGTGTAACGTCAGCACCTGGCTTGATGCCTTAATCAGACGGGTTGCCTACAACCCTAGGCACTCAATTGAGTTGAGTGATCACCCCCCGGGGGGAAAGACAATCCCCTAATAAGGGGGCCTTTCTTACCCCGAGGTGCGCAGATGGTTCACCGTGTATGGCCGTATGAACCGTCACTCTGGTTAGTGTGAGGCCTAGCTGCACTCGATTGTTCCACTTTGGTTAGGAACTGCCAACCACAACCGCCACGAGTACTCCCCGAAGGGCCGCACCCAAGCAGTCAGGACTCACAAATTAATCAACGATATTCGTTCAAAAGGGAAAAATTCCGCTCGCTTCCACCATAAGGCTTCCACGCCGCCGTTGATCAATTACCACCATTACCGGCAGGAATCCGTGACATATGTTCAAAAGTATATAGGCAAAAGGGGAAAAGCCTTCCGTCAAATCCCTTTTTTTAATAATATTTGCATGTATTAATTATCAAGAGGGTTTTTTTTATTAATAGGCCAAAGGGAAGGCCATCCGTCAATTCCTTTTTTTTTTTGTATCATTAACTCTACTCTTGAGAAAAATTTTTATTCCGTTACGGCTTTATGAACAAAGTCCATCATACACCCGCAGGTTACGTGGCTTTGTGAGGCGAGCCTCCTGACCCCTGTGGCTCCTAGTTTATTTTGCAAAGCTTTTGGCACACTTTAGGCGGTTGTAAAAACAACCGCACTTGCATTCGGTTTCTCCATACATCCTGGTAGCCAATACCAAGAACTACTTTTCTTCGAGATATATAGGTCTCGGGTATTGCACTGACACGGCAGGGGAGATCTACCATGCACTCGCTAGATTACTGTCTTCTACGTACTTAATACCATTCACAAATTTCCTAGGTAGTAACTAGCTATTGAGTCAAGAGTTCATCTTCCAGCCAACCCCTCCACCATCTCTCAGAAACTCGTCACCGAGTTAGTAGCCCAAAAACTTGAACCCT